GGGCGGGAAACAGAAGCCCTGCGGATGGTGCAGTGCGGCCCGTGCCCCGCAAGCCATCTAGTCCTTGCCGCCAGTGCTGATTAAGTGGCTTCACTAACTCATCCCTTAGCACAGGATAGGGGACACCAGCAGGTCCTCCACTTGCTCCAAGGCAGGAATCAGAGCCCTGGGGCCAGCCATGGGAGGACCCTCAGTGCATTTGTTCCCCTCCCTGCTGCTACCAAGTGTCGCTAAAGTTGGGGGCTGTTTCTCCCCCACCCAGCCTGGCCGGCAGCTGATCCCAGGATGCCTCCCTCAGCTCTTCCGGCAGCAGCCTTTGCGGCCTCAGAAGCAGCAGCTGGGCTGCCTGAGGAGCCTGGCACCCTGAGCACCCTGCAGGGCTGACCAAGGCCCCTTCGCCCAAGGCACCACTCCGACCAGCAGAAGCAGCACTTCTTGTTCTAGGCGCTGAGAGGGAAAGTGTCACACCCAGCTGCCAGGACACCTTTGTACCCAGGGCCTTGCCACATCTACAAGACTGAGGGCTGGAATGTAGCTTCTGATTTCCCTCAGGGTAACCAGGGACCTCTGGCCTAGAGAAAGCAGTGAGTCTTTGGAGCCTTTCACAGAGCAGCTGTGTTACGTCAGCATGATGCCTTGTCACCATTGGTGAGCCCACGTTGACACATCCTCATTAACTGAAGTCCCCGCTTACCAGATCTGCTTGGTTTTCCCTATCATTCCTGTCTCCTTAGGTCCTCCAGACTAAGTTCTAATGCTTTTCAGAACTTCCTTGTTTTTGATGACCCTAACAGGTTTTTTTCTTTTTTAGCATGGGGGACTGAATCCAGGGCCTTGCTACTGAACTACTTCCCCAGCCCATCTTTACATTTTATTTCTTTTTTATTTTTTGGTACTGGGAATTGAACTCAGGACCTTGTGTTTGCCAGGCAGGCGCTTGTGCTACTGCACTATATCCCCGGCCCTTTATTTCTTTTTTAATAGCTAGATGAGGTATTGCTATTGTTGCCAAATTGCCAAGGTTGGACTCAAACTTGATTGGTATTTTTTTGTCTTTTTTGATACAGGGTCTTGCTCTGCAGTTCAGGCTGGCCTTGAGCTCACTTTGTAGCCCAGGCTGGTCTCGAACTTGCAACAATCCTCCTGCCTCAGCCTCCCGAGTGCTGGGACAGCACACCCGGCTGCCCTAACAGTTTTGAGGTGACTGTAGGCTTTGTCTGATGTTGTTTTCATAGACTCTTGGCAGGTTTTGGAGAGGAAGACCACAGAGCTCAGCACATGCTATCAAGGTGGTACCATCAGTGTGGGTCTTCCCGGCTGACATTGCCTTTGACCACCGGTGGGGCCTTGTGTGTCAGCCCCTCCCCTGGGAAGCTGCTCTTCCCACACCCACTCTCCAGGTTACTTCATACCGTCCACACTCAAGGAGCTTTGCTCCACCTCCTTAAGCGTTGGGTGCTTACTTAAAAGTATTTGGATTCTTCTCAGTGGAGAATGGTCTTTTCTCCCTCATTTCCTTATTCAGCCGTTTATCTACATCATGTGATAGATAGGTAGATATTACTTTTTCTTGCATTTCTGGGGATTGAGCCCAGGGCCTCCACACTGAGCTACATCCCTGCTACGGTTTGTATCTGGATGACCCCCCAAAGCTTCTGTGGATTATGGGGCGGCATAGCTAAATGTGATTGCTGTTAGGAGGTGGGGCCTGGTCAGAAGAGGCTGATGGGCTGGAGTGACCGGAAGGGTGTACTGCCCTTCTTTCTCTGCTTCCCGTTTACCATGTCGCAGTGAGCAGCTCTCCTCTGCCACGCCCTCTGCTACGCTGTCCTGCCTCAGCGCCAGCTGACTATGGATTGAAATGTGAGCCAAAATCACCTTCGCTTCTCTGAGTTGTGGGTGTATTTTGTTTTTGTTTTTTTTTTGGTTTTTCTCCGGTACCGGGAACCGAACTCACGACCTTGCACATGCCAGGCAGGCGCTTTTGCCGCTGAGCTAAATCCCCAGCCCCTGTGGGTGTATTTTGTATCAGCAACGAGAAAGTGACTAAGACAATCCCTAGTCCTTTTTTTAAAAAAAAATTTTTTGAGACAGAGTCTGAATTGACAGGTTGCTCAGGATGGGCTCAAACTTGTGCTCTGCCTACCTCAGCTTCCAGAGTGCTGAGATTTCAAGCGTGCCCTACCGTGCACACCCATGGATATTGACTTTACACTTCGGATTGTACTCCAGTACTACTTTAGTACACTTTTTGTTGCTTCAGTTGTTCCTTCTTTGGGAGCTCTTTCAGTTGGTGAATCAGACTTTTCAAGAAAATCTAGAAATCCCGCTGGGGAAATAGCTCAGCAGCACAAGTGCCTGTCTGGCAAGAGCAAGGTCCTGAGTTCGATCACTGGTAAAAAAAAAAAAAAAAAAAAAATCTAGAAATCTCAATTGTTTCATAAAATCTCTGATTTTGAAACAACCAAGTGGGCCAAAGGAAATGCTACTTCAGGCCAACTCCAGGCAGCTCTACAGGCTGGAGTCAGGCTATCTGTTCTGCATCTCCTCGGTTGCTTATAGCTAAATGCCTGTGTATATGGGAGTTAACCTGCCTGGGGCTCAGTTTCCTCATCTGCGGAATGGGAGGATAATCTCTGGGTGGTTGGAAGGACTCTTGAATGATGCAGGTGGAAACGGGGGCACTAGGCCTGGCATAGTGTTTCTGTTTATTAAATAGCAGGAGGCAACATTATCCCCGAGCACGAACAACACGTGGTTAAACAGCTCCTTAAGGAGAACAAGAACTGAGTTTGAGGCTCAGAGGAAGCCTTCAGGAACAGGGGAGGCCAAAAGCACCCTGTAAGCTCTGGTGTGGGCAGGGACAGGGACTGCCCACCTGAAGCCTGCTTTTCAGCGTGGGAACTGAACTCTACTACTCTCAGGTAACCTCCATTGACAGGTGGGAGAGGACCCAAAGCCTCAGGTCCTATCCTATTCTTTCTAAAGTGTGAACGACTCCTTCTGCCCAGGAAGGGGACACGTGATTTGAGGCTACAGTACGCAGACTGACAAGATAAGGCCCAAGCCCTCATGTCCGCAGACCCTTTTGACTCAAAAGCTCTAGAAATGTATCTTAGAAGTACACTCACAAGTAGCCAAAAAATGCATCAAGGATGTTACTTAGAGATTTCTTTGTGATGGAAAAGAAAAAAAAAAACTTGGGCATAGCTCACACACTCGGTAATGGGCAACACACAGCAGAACCCCAGGCAGTTGCTCAAACATGGAACTGCAGGAAAATATGTTTAGGGTACTGTGAAGGGAGAAAAAGGGCGTCCAGATAGTAGGTACCCCATTTTCTCACCGAGTGACATGTTTATATCTTTGTGACACATTTCTATTGGTAATACGGGGAAGTATGGAACTATAGATACCCACATATAAGCTGGGTGCTGGAGGCGGGGTGGGACTTCCCCTCACCACTGGACTTTTGGGGTGCTTAGTGCTGTGCTGATTCAGAACTGGGGCCTCTTCTCAGTCTTCACGGGTTACAGTCTCACAGACCAGGTGCTTGGTGGTGGTGGTGTGGTGGTGGTGGTGGTGTGTGTCTCAGAGAGTGGTTTAAGTGCGACTAAAATTTTTTTATATTCTCTGATTTTTCTTCAATTCATTTAGCACTCAGCCAATTTTTTTCCAGTGTTGGGGACTGAACCTGGAGGCTCACACAAGAGCTATACTCCCAGTCCTTTTTTCTTTTTTTTTTTTTTGGTCTTTTTTTGAGACAGGGTCTCACTATGCAGTTGAGGCTGGCCTTGAGCTCACTTTGTAGCCCAGGCTGGCTTGAACTCACAACAATCCTCCTGCCTCAGCCTCCCGAGTGCTAGGATTACAGGTGTGTGCCACCACAGCCAGTTTTTTTTGGGGGTGGTAAAGTTTTCAAGAACAGTAAACAGACTTTTTAGATTGCAGTGGGTATACATACATAACATAGATGGACCGTTTTAACCACTGTTAAGTGTACAGATCACTGGCAATAAACACATTCACAGTGTCTGTCTCTGGAACATTTCCACCACCCTACACAGAGCCTTGGAACTCACTAAATAATAGCCTCCCCACCCTTGCTTTAGTGCTATCAAACAAGATTCGCCCTTTTGTGTCTAGCTTATTCACTTGGTAACATGTTCTTTTTTTTGGTAACATGTTCTTGAGCATAGTTTTTTAAGACCCGTTTTTGAGGGAAAATGCAATGGCTAAGTTCTAGGAACTGCGAGCTGAAAAGATTCCCACGGCCCCTGGGGGCTGGTGCGAGGGTCTTTCCCGGGGCAGACACCTATGGAGGCCGGCTGGGGGTGCAGCCCCAGGCGCTGGCTGCCAGCCTCCAGGGCTAGGCTGTTTGCAAACACCCAGCCATCAGAGCCCCTTCCAGGAACAGCTCCCAGCCTGTGACTGTGACTGTGAAAGAGGCCTTTTCCTCTGCACTGGAAATAATCCCTAGGGCACTGTGTTTCTGATCCAGAGATGAAGCCAATCGGCTGAATAGTACACATTCCCTAAATTATTAAAGAGCCTGAAAGAGCGGCTGCCACACCGGGGTCACAGTTTCACATTCTCAGCGAGGACAGATCACCAAGCTTCCTGCTGGGCGGCTCTGTGATGTTGCCGGAGGCCAACAGCCTGGTCCCCTCCCCCAGGGCGGGCGTGGAGGGGCACTGGGAAAATCTCACTGCTCCCTGGGAGAGCTGAGCTTTGTGCGAACAGGAAGGAACTCCACAGGGAGGAGGTCTGCACTTGAGCAGGAACTGGGCTCCCCGTCACCTTTGACCTCTAGTGCAGGGTAGGGTGAGGGGCACGCCTGGGTTCCGGTCTACCCTGTGAACTTCAGCATGGTATATAAATACCCTCCAAGTCCGTAGAATGGAGATGCACAGGGCAGCGAGGGGCACCATCCCTACTGAATATTTTGCAGGTGGCGCCCTTAGAGGTGTGCAGTGGCTGTGGCTCAAATGCGTATCTTGCACTCGGCTGGGCGTGGGACATAAGCGGCTGATGTGTCATCCCGCACCCTGGAAAGACAGGCTGGTGCTTAGCAGCCACTGTTTGACAGTCTGCGTTCTCCCGCACCACGCCTGGCCTGGACCTGAGTTTTCTGCTGCCACTTCTGTCTTCCAGCTTTGTTTTTTGGGTAGGAAAGGGGCTGGGGATTGAACCCAGGACCTCAGGAATGCTAAGTGTCTTTCTCTACCACTGAGCAACCCTCACCCACTTGCTTTCAAAATTTCAAGTAATGAACTGATTTCTTCTATAATAAGAATACTAGTAGGAAGGAAGGGCTGGGGATGTAGCTCAGTGCGAAGGCCCTGGGTCAATCCCAGTGTAGTGCTGCCGCCACCCCCAAACAGAAGAGAGAAGGGAGAAAAGCCCAGAGCGGCCCAGCTCAGGAGAGCCCGGCTCTGGTGCACTGGCCAGCTGGGAGAATCTCTCCTGTCTCCTGACCGGGCTTGTTTTGACTGGGCTGTTATTCAAATGGGGGTGGGGGTGGCGGCGTCTCCAGGGGACAGCGGAGCCTAAGGGTCACAGTACAAACTGGGCTTAGCTGGTGTGGGCGCACACATGGCTTTCACCACCTGTGCAGCGAAGCTGGCAGCACAGGGTCGCCTCCTCAGCTGCGTTTGTTGGGATGTGGGGAGATTTGGGTGTCTGAATTTCTTGCTGACTTCCCAGGCCTGACTTCAGCTGCTTCTCCAAGCTCCTGACAACTCTGAGGCTGCAGCTGAGCCACTTCCTGGACTGACTCCAAGGCCTGGAAAGGAGGAGAAAGTTCCGGCAGGTAAGTGTCAGCGGATGCAGGGAGGGATGGGTGGCTTACTCATTAAGGTTTTCCTGGTGCTGCAGGAATTTCAGAATTCGCATTTATTTGAAGCGGCAAGAATTAAGGAGGATGTAATTTTCCAGAATACATAGCTGGAGGCTTTTAACTTTTTTTTTTTTACAGCTAGAGAGGCCAGTAGCAATAGTTTTCAAACACTGCAGTGTCTAAGAATCACCTACTGCTTTTTTTTGTCTTTTTGAGACAGGGTCTCACTATGCAGTTCAGGCTGGCTTTGAGCTCACTTTGTAGCCCAGGCTGGTCTTGAACTTGCAACAATCCTCCTGCCTCAGCCTCCCGAGTGCTGGGAGTACAGGTGTGTGCCACCATGCCTGGCACCTATTGCTTTTTGGAAATGTAGGTTCTGAGGTGGGTATGGTGGGACGCATGTCTGCAGTCCTAACTACTGGGGGCTGAGGCAGGAGAACTGCTTGAGTCCAGGAGTCCAGGGCCAGGCCGGCAATATAGCCAGATCCTATCTAAAAAAAAAAAAAGGTCCTAGTGTTAGATATTGGGCATTATTTAATCCACCCTGTCACTTTACAGATGCAGAAAGGACTTGGGAAGGCAGAGGGCCAGACCATGTACCTGAGGGCACCAGCTGGTCAGAAGAACCAGGATTAGAATCTGGGTGTCTAATGTGAACGTCTTCAGCACATCACACTGCCCCTCACTTTGCCTGTAGCAGCTGTCTGGCCTTAAGGGGAGGGTTAGACAAAAGTCGGGTGTGTGAATTTTCTTTCATCAACCAATTCTCCAATATCAATTGGTTGTGCAACATCCAATTGTGTTGTAAAACGAACTACCCAGAATAAGGGAGGGCTCAGTCCCAGAAAACTGTCCCCATGTTGGATGCCGGCTGCAAATGGGGTGCCTAGCCTACCTAGCCCACACTTCCATCTAGCTGACCATGAATTCTGGGCTCCCATAACCCCTACCCCTGTCAGACTTGATGGCTTGCTAGGACATCTCACAGGCTCGGGAAACTGCTACGCTTGCTAATACAGTTTATTATGCATGATGCAGATTGAATTACTCACCTGTAATCCCAGCACTCTGGGAGGCTGAGGCAGGACGATCAAAAACTAAAGCCCAGCCTGAGCATGTCAGCGAGACCCTGTCTCAAGATAAGAAATAAGGAAAGGGCTGGGGATGTAGCTTAGTGCAACAATTCTGGTTTCAGTTCCAGTACGAGGGAGTCGGGGATGAAGTGAAGCGCCCAGTGGGGAAACACAGGAAGGGAGGCCCAGAGTGTGGACTTGGGGCACAGTACCCTCCTGGCATGTCCATGTGCTCCCCAGCCTCCTGGAGGGGCCCTGCTGATTAGTTTCGTGGCAGTATCACTAGGTGGATGTGACTGACTCAGTCACTGCCTTTCGGTGACAGAACTTGTATCCCTGGCTCTTCTCCCCTTCCTGGAGGCCAGCAAGGGGCTCAGAGTTCTAAACCCGTCATCATGTCGGCTCTTTTTGTTTTGTTTTGTTTTCTGGTACCAGGAATCGAACTCACGACCTTGTGCTTGCCAGGTAGGTGCTGTGCCGCTGAGCTAAATCCCCAGCCCCCATCATGTCAGCTCTTGCATGCTAGGCCAGGGTTCTCCTAACACATACAAGACAGTAAACTGTAAGGGTTTTAGGGGCTCTCTGCCATGACCAAGCCGATTTTTTTTTTAATTATACCGGGTGCTTTTTTTCCAAAACACCATATGCATTGCAAAAACAAAATGGGCCTCTTACCTGGGTGTGATGACACAGTCCCAGCACTCTGGGAGGCTTAGGCAGAAAGGCCACAGGTTAGATCCCAGGCTGGCCAATTTAGTGAGACTGTCTCAAAATTTAAAAAAGGGCTAGGAGCCAGGTATGGTGGTGCACACCTGTAATCCCAGCACTCAGGAGGCTGAGGCAGGAGGATCATTGTGAGTTCGAGGCCAGCCTGGGCTACAAAGTGAGCTCAAGGTCAGCCTGAACTGCATAGTAAGACCCTGTCTCAAAAAGACAAAAATAAATAAATAAAATAAAAAATAAAAAAGGGCTAGGGACATAGCTTAGTGTGAAGGCCCTGGGTTCAATCCCCAGTATGGCAAGAACACAACACAACAGTAACACAACAAAACAAGCCTGCAATGTTGCTTATTCTCACCACTTCTAGGCCAGTTGTCTCCAGCTGGTTCCAGGGCACACACCAAACACTGTGTACAAGAAGGCTGCAGAGGTATAACTAGGATATGGGCATTTTCCCCTCCTTGTATCTCAAGACCCTGAACCTCAGATTCAAAGATCTGATAGTACAGCTAGTGCTAGAGCTGCAACAGAACCAGGGGTGCTGGAAACAAGGAGAGAGGAGGTGATCTGCCTGAGACGATGCCCTGAGACACCAAGAAACTTAAAGATGCCTTCCACTGGTCATTCCGTTTGTTCCACGATGTGGCGGGCCCAGTTACAACACAAGTGTTTAGTGGAGAAGTAGGGGACTGGGGAGCTGGTCAGAGGACTTGAGGCAGAAGGCTCCGCCCTCTGGAGTTCTGGTGACACTGAGAAGGCATTCACTGCAGCCGCAAGTCACAGCTGTGGCCCAGAGGCACGGAGCAGCTCCAGACACTGGACAGAGTTTGAAGGTTGTCCTCCTGTAACTTCCACCAGAAAACCTGGACAGGACAGGGCCTGTAATTCATTCCTGCGTGTTCAAATTTCAAGCTCATTTTCCCAGGTCAGGAACCACTTACTTTGCATCTCGCAAGTGGAAGCCTGCCACAGCACCCTTCTAAACATGCTGTCTTAGTTACTTTTCTCTTGCTGGTGAGACAAAGCACCCAACACCCAAAGTTAAAAGAGGAAAGGTTTATTTAGCTCCAAGTTTGTAGAAGGTTCAGTCCATAATCAGCTGGCACCACCAAGGCAGGATGGCACATGGCAGAGGGACAACCATTCATGGTGGTGGAAGACAGCAAAAGCAACAAGGGAGGGAAGCTCAGCAGTGTCTTTCTGCCCCTTTTATTTTATCCAGACTACTGGGATCAGGGTGGTGCTAACCCAATCAGTGGATGATTTAGTAATCACACACCCTTAATCCCAGCATTGTACCATGAACCAATCACACACTTTAGATCTAACCACCTCTGAAAAAACCCACCTAACCGCATGAGGTTTGGAGGGGATATCTAAACAAGCCATCGCCAGAAGTGGTGGTACATGCCTATAATCCCAGCATTCAGGAGGCTGAAGCAAGAGGATTCCCGTGAGTTTGAGGCCATTCTGAGTTCAACGATGGCCTGGACTACATAGCGAGACCCTGTGTCAAACAGAACAAAACAAAGCAAAGCAAAGCAAAACAAAACAAAACAAAACAAAATAAAACAAAACCACAAG